AGTATATAAATCACGGATATTTAGCTTTTGTATGTGAATACTATTGTTTGTAAGGTAGTAGGAATATAATGAATAATGTCTCATGTCGTAGTGGTTTATAGTTAACCAATTGGCTAGGCTTTGTACAGCCCTACTGTGGAACATATGTTAAGATCTTAGTTTTTACTAGCTAAACATTTAGATATGCAATTGAAAAGCATCATTCAAATAAAAGTACGAGATAAGTGTCCAATGACACAATTTTATTATTGTTTGTGAACTGAATAAATAAATAAATGGAACGACTGTTTCAACCAGTTGACTGCGACTTATAAAGCCTTGTTTTTATTATAATTATTCAGCTAAAAAGTAAAGGTCCATTTCAAACAAGACAAACCAAATCCACAGTTCAGTTCATTCTAATTGGATATCAACTAATATAGGTGTACCGTATTGTATTGTAACGATTCAGAAATCCGATTTGAAACAGAGGCCTTACGATGAGCTTTTAAATACGATGTAAATGCGGCTACTAAGGGATAGACATCGGTATACGCTTATTAGCATGGTATTACTTCGACCCCTGTAATTGCATTGCGTTATAAAGGTCAGGCTAAGGCCATCGATGAATTTAGCATAAAAATAACGGCTTTTCCATTATTTGTTCATAGATTTGTTATTTTATCTATAATTAGTATAAGGAACCGAATTAAAATTAAATCAAAATATCGACAGTACGTTAGATTACAGTAAATTTACAAACTCCAATAAACTTGAACTCTTAGAACGTAAGTAAGTTTAAGGATCGATTACAGAAACAATTTGTGATAAAGTGATTAAAAGAACTACACACGTATGTGTTTATATCTGAAGAATGAACTATATAGATGTTAATAATATTTCCCTATGTTTACAAATGGATTTCATATCATATAAATGAGCCAAACTTACGCAAATAACTTTGAAAGCCGAAACACTATTACGATGGACGTGGTAGAGCCATTGGTCAAGCCATGTCAACGCAGTTTTCCTGGGTCAAAAACAAAATTCACGTCAAGCCCAGGTTTGGTGGGCGTTTTGGCGTTGTCTTGATATTATTGCCAGGGATTTAAATATGTAGTCGGTAAATATATACCTAAGTTTATGTAAGCTACTTTGTCAGTTCTCCGGTTACAATGTTTCTAAATCTCAGCTATTTTAGAAACAATAAACGATACTCTTTTTTAATGTATGGATTTTTTTTATATACTTTGAAAGAAATGAAATGAAAATATCTTTATTCAAGTAGGCTATCACAAGCACTTTTGAATCGTCCAAAAACAATTTTTTCCCCTACTACTTGTTCAGGACGTCTTTTAGCTGCCAAGAAGAACAAGCGAAAGAAACTTACCAGCTTTATCAACATCATCGTCGTCAACCCTTTAACGTCCCCACTAAGTTAAGGAGGATGGGCCATGACCCTCCACGCTCGAGGGTATTGACGGCTGCAAATGCATCCGGGACCAACGGCTTAACGTGTCTTCCGAAGCACGGTGTAGCTCGAGATAATATTTTTTTGGTCTCTCGTCCCGTGGCCGACCCTAGCGAAAGTTGCTTAACAACAACGATCGTGGGCTGCGGGGTTTATCCACTTCGCCACCGAGCTACTAATGTAAAATTTATTACTTATGTAAATTAATATTTCCATACGCAATAACTTGTAAATGTAAAGATGTTTGTATCTTTACTATTTATACAAGAATAACTACATCTCTTGCATTTATGAAATATATTATATTTTTAAAAGAGAAATCGTCTGGTTCTTTTATTCATCAGAACTGGCAGTAGAAATTTATAGGTGTGCTAAATCAGGACGGTTTCACAGCCAGACTACAACGGTGCCCCATTCAAATGTTAGAAACGACTCCATTTATTTACTAGATACTGAATGAAACGGCATAAAAAGAATGACGAATTACATATCCAAACCTGTTCAGCAATTATACTAGAACCATAGATACACATAAACTATACTATACTTGAACATGTTTAATGGGTCCATATCCAAAATTTTCAACTAACATTCAATCGGTTTTTTAGAAAAAAAAACTAACGTCTAAATAAAAATGAAAAAAAACTACATCATATGTTCTTAATGTAATTATTTTTTTATACGGAAAACTGATAAATATTAACCAGTATTTTTTAAATAATCTTCTATAGGAACAGGTAAAAAAGCTCGATGGTGTAGTAGTTAGCACGTTTGATCTGCTACTGTTGAGGTTATTATTTAGTGGGCGATTTAGGTCAACCACGCGAGCTCAGTATTATATCTGGGGAGATTGGTTGCATCCATTAATTTATAGTTTCATCCATTAAGTATACTTGCGCTTTAGCATCACCAATCTGCTTTGGGTCCAACACGCGGGTTCAGTATGGAAAGCTGTGTGGATTAGTTTCATGAATTAAGAATACCTGTAGTTCTTTAGCACTGCCATTCCGCTTTGAGCTCAACACGCGGGGACAGTACGGACTGATGGATGAGGAAAGACCTGTATCCTCATAGCCACTTTACCAATCCGCAAGGCGCCCGCGGGCCCATTAGGGGTTCTAGGTGGATTGATGTTATCCCATACATTAGCACTACCACATGGTTCAATTGTCGTGAAGAAACCGATACAATCTATGAGTGACCCAGTACTGCGAGTGCGACGGGTTGTAACATGACGACGCACGTCCACCAAGGCGAAATAAAAAAAACGAAAAAATTAAAACAATCATTACTTCGAAACTACTCGCTCGATTTCTATGAAACAAAAACAGGTATATTTCTGAATGTAAAGATTACACGGACACGAGGTGAGAGAGTGAAGAGTTTCAAGCTATTTAACGAGCCCATTGATACTCCTCGTTAAGTTTAAGATGTACGCTACATCAAACGTAAAACGTAAAAAATATGTGTAATTCCTCGTCTCTGATTTCATAAGCGCTATAAGCTTTTCAAGTCAATTAGTGTTAGAGATCATTTTGATTGTTAGTACTTTATATGTTAAGAATTTATTTATTTACGTTTAAGTGCGCACAAAGAAAAGTTTGTTTTTAAAAAACTTTTTTTATTCGATTTGATCCAATTCTATCCATATGGAAGGCCTGTGTCATAGCAGTGGGAACATTGGGCTGATGGTGATGAAACATCAGAGCACTCTAACACTCGTATATATAGTCGAGAGAGGTTATTTACTTTAGAAAATGTCATAGTTTAAGGAGATACCAATGAGGAAGTATTAAAAAAAAATTAGTTCCCGAAATCAAACTGATGTCGCAACGGTTTTGATTTCTCCATGACATGTTTAAAAGTAAATTAGTTTTCAAAAGTCAGTAAACAACTCATATTCTATTTGTAACTTTTCAAATTTCAGTTTTTTAATATGTTTGTTAAAAGGAACAGAAATGACTTTCTTTGGCCCATTCGTTTCCTGCAAAAATCAACTTTTGCTAGAGTCGCCATCTAGTGGAGGTGCTTTTTAGTGCTTTCGTTGACTTCCTCATTGACGTGAATTTCAATGAAGTACGGACTGTTAACAACTAATTAAAATAGCATTCTAACTATTTACAGTTCTTAATTTATTCAAATTTTTGTTTATTTTCTATGTCCGATCCAGGTTGATAGAGCATCATAAAGGCGAAGTTTTAATGAAAACTACTGCTTTATTATTTTCTATTCATTGCTATCAAATAAGCATGTGTTTGCTCTTTTAGAAAAAGCTTTGAAAGGCTTCTGAGTAGCATAGTTTCTTTTTAATTTAAATATTAAAATTGCTATCATGACACAAAACACGTGGAATAAGGTTGCCCATATTTGTTCAGTGAAATATAGTATTTTAAAAATAAGTTTATAAATTAAAGAACATTTCAAAAACATATAGTACCTACCTATCGCGTCTATGGGCTGAATGTAAATGTGTTAGAATATACACGATATGAATTGAAATTATCTTTTATTCAGATAAGCTTATTGAAAACATTTTTGAATCATTCGAGTTATAAAGAAAGCATCTCTTAACAGAAGTCACGACATTTGCATAAACTATCTGTGCAGTCGCGTTTGTAAAAAGTTTAATGTACCTTCGCCTAACTAAATAATGAATTTATTTGTTTACTGTTGAATACATATTATTTATGAATACTGAATATTTCTCCAACAGGCCCAAAATAGAGTATAATATTAAAATGTATTATTATAGTACGGCTGGCAAACGTATCTGAGAATATTGTGCTTTTAATTCCTCAATGGCGTATTCATAGTTGAATAATTATGAATCATTAAATTGTCTATACTAATATTATAAACAAGAATCATTTGATTTTTTTTCGCATCGAATAGATTCCTAAGCTACTGAACCGATTTAATAACTATTTTGTCTTCGGAACTTTATATAAAACGCGGATGACGTACATTACGTGGCGAAGTCGCGGGAAAACAGCTAGTAGTATTTTTTAAGCAATTAAGAATATTTTCTAGTATAGTATTGTGATGCAAAATTGATCAAATATAATAGTACTATATAAGGCTGTATATAGTTAGCTCCAACTTTACTATACCTACAGAAAAAATAAAATTTTATATTGATTGTGTTCATGACTGTAAATCATGTTCGTTTTTTATAACTTACATTAATAAAGAAGATAAAAAAAAGAATGTCTATAAAAGTGTTTGTACTTATGATATCGCTACTACCCTGAGGTTGAAAACTGATTTTTGTCAGTTTGTTTACTACTATTGAAATTAAGAGCTCAATATCTGTGCTATGTTTCATGTACCATTTAATAAATTGCAAAACAAAATTTGAATTCTTTCTTATATTTCAATATATATATTTTTCAAATCTTCCTAATATCTTTAATTAATCACAATTTAAGGTTTTTGTTCATATTTCATTGTCGATAAATTCTATATAAAGTTATTCAAATTTTTAAGGTCTTACCATACCGACTAAAATGTGTTGTATGAGGCTATTGAATTCTTATATTTTGATTTCCAGGCTTAGCAGTACCATTCGTGGAGTTGACGGTAACTCACGCGTCCGTCCTTACAATCTTGGCTATCAGCTTCGAGAGGTACTATGCTATCTGCGAGCCACTCCGAGCCGGCTACGTTTGCACAAAGACGAGGGCAGCACTCATCTGTGCTCTAGTGTGGTTCTTCGCGGCTTTATTCACCAGGTAAATGATATATATTTTTTAAATTTTATTTAAATCCATAAAGGTTTGAAGTTTGACATTTGATTTTACACTTTTCTAGTCTCGAAAACGGATTTGCTTGAATTCTTGAGTTACAAAGAGGTTTGTTATTAATTGGAAAATGTGTCAATACTTTTTAAAAATAATTCAGAATACTAAAACTTCCATTTATGAATTGAAAAAGACTTGTGCTATTTTTTAATTATGTTCAAAACCATTCTCGTTTGAATAGTGAAATGTTTGCTACTTCGAATTCATTCATAGACAAAAATAATAACAATGGGTTTGCTAAGCTTTTAACAGCAACATCGCGATGGTGCGGGAGTTTCCATGATCTCCCATGATTGACAATGGGAGTATATTGGTGATGGTGGCTTCAGCTAAACAGTGTGGCTTGTTAATCATGACGACGGTATACCAACGTGTTATTAAAATGTAAAACGAAATTGGACAGAATCGATACACATGCTGTCCTTTTCTATTCTACAGGTTAAGTAAGGATAACATTATTTCATTGCTTATTGGCTGTTAGCATGCAGCAGAATGAGCAGCACTAAGCTTCGTTATAAAACAGATTGGTGTTGTAAATTTCACTGTGCATGTATCATAATTTTTAGTTTTAAGTCTGATTATTTAGTCAGTAAATAAAGTTAAATAAATAGGTATCGTGTCGTCTTGTTTTGTATGTTAGTAGAAACACCAAAAATTTTTTTAACATGTTTCCGATTTCAAAAAAATAAAAGGCTCTAGCAGGATAAAGTAGGACCTGCGACCCCAGAGAGTTGTTTTAGAAATAGCGTGTGTTATGACTTCAGCGAGTGATAAAGTTACCAATGACGTATATTCTGCTTTGATGTTTCTGCATTCGTGAAATATTTTTGATTGGCTATTGAACGTTTATTGTTTTTTGAGTAACACTCTGAATTTAATTTCCTAAAAATATATTGTTGTGTGTTATTTAGAAAATTTTAAAGTACTATGAACATACACGACAGATTTTACGAAGTGAAATAGATATAATAGATAGTCCAAGAAGTGGCATGACTGCCTACGTATAAATAATTCATGTATGTATAATAATGTAGCTTATTGTCTACTGTTTACTTACTTAAAAACAGATATTGAATGAAACACTTTTGGAATAAAATAAAAATTTGTTATTGCTGACCTTACTTCTTTATAATGCCAATATCACAGAAAAGAAAAAAAAGGTAGAAGAAGCATGCTGGGTGTTTTGTATGAAAACCACACAGAGACGAATATTTATTTATTCTATATAAATTATCATCATGTAGTATAATAGTTATTTTTTCTCCCAAAGACTCACATCATGTTTGAAAATATTTATTTCAAGAATTTTATTCTCACGACAAGCTTAATAAAAAAACTATATAATTGTCTCAATCTTTTTTAAATGGATGTATTATTTTTTATGATAAAGATATAATAAAATGTTTGAAAGAATTCAGAACGCTACTTTAACAAATATGGCAAACTGTTTTACATTTTTATCGGATAGCGAAAGACTCAACTATCTCTGTCTCATTCATATTCGAGTTTTATTATATCCTTGCATGTCTTGAAATCAGATACGATCTTGACATTTCGGAATGTTCTTTATTGTTTCGTCTAAAGATAATGGAAACTTCTATCAAAGAGAAATGATTTGGCATTGCAATTGTAAATAGTATAAATTACAGTGAAAGGTTAGTGAACCAAACATTATTATATTACAATGACTAGATATCAATTTACAGTAACAACATGTCATGTATGGTATGATCATCATGATCATCACCAGCCTATTGATTCGATTCGGATGAAAATGGGCCATGACTCCAACACGCGGGTCCAGTGCGGTTTGGTCGGTATTTACGACTGCAGATACAGCCGGGTTAACGTGCCTATAAACGGTCCAATTTCCACACAATTCCATTTCGAAACAAACAATCAAATCTTTCCTCTTTATAATATTAGAATAGTTAAATAAATTTGTCAGAAAGCCAAGAACAGAGAACTACTACAAATTCTCTTATAGAACCTCATGTATTTCATTTGCAAAATATGATATTTAAAACTACTAAAGCTAAAGCAATTAGTCCTGTGTTTCTTCAACAAAGACTCTGTGATGGAGCGTTAACTGCATTCGTTCGTAACTCATTATATCCACACCGTTGGACGTTTGTTTCGTTTTCAATATCAATATTCATGAAGTTTTTATTCTAGATTCTTTGTTTTTTTTTTAAACTATAACGACTATAACTTTTAATGTTACGTTTTGCATTACAAATTTCCACAAGTTTTTGCGGATTTTGTGTTTACTTTGCTTTATCAATATTTCAAATACTTGAAAAAAAAAATACTGTTTTGAAGTAACCATTGTTAGTTTTCTATGATATCTGTACTAATATTACATACAAAATTGATTGTCGATTTGTTTTTTGTTTGAATCGCATAGGCTGCGGCTAATATGAAACTAAAGGACTGATTTTTAAATTCTTTCAAGTATGCTAATTCTCCATTACACGCGGGTGATAAGACTCTAAATTATGTGAAGTCGCAGGAAAACAGCTGGGTAACAATATTCTTATAATAGAGATACAGTTTCCCATAAGGAATTGTCTAATAAAATATAATTATTATTACATAAAACTGTGAAAGAATGAGCCTTCCCAAATACGGATCAGTTAGAACTTTATTTTGTTTCCATATTATGATGACAGACAGACAGACCTGCCTTAAATTAGATTAAACCTGGTAATCTCAGGCATTATTTTCTACACTTTTATTTTAAGGGCATGATTAGTATATTAGATAGTGGTCATTGATAATCTAAAAAATACATTCTCTAATATGAACCTCAACATTTGATACTTATTATTTTTGTAAAATAACAAAGTTAAAAATATTCTTAGAGCGGTGGAAATTGCGAGAGAGGAAATAGACATATTAAAAAAAAAAAAAATAAAGTCATTGAAGATTATACAGAAGCTTCACGAAGGAATAGGAAATGATCACTCACATAAGCAGCAAACAGCTCAAAGCACTTTTCTTATAGCCTCTTAAAACCAAATAGTTTCCAACAGTAGGCGCAATTTAACCTTTTTTTTATCCACTATCACTTACAACAAACCTTTGTCTTCATTTCTTTTTAGGGGAAGACTTGAAAATATATATTTAAATGCTTCCCACTTCGTTTGGTAAAAGCTTAGTAATTTGCCAGCCTTGACCTTAGACCCGAGTAGATTAGAAAACATAGGATCATTATTTCAGTTCGGGTAAGTCCTTTAACTTCATTTAGACTACAGAGAGGTTACTACTGGTTCCGAATGGAGTAAACAGATAACATGTTGTTTTGTGTGGCTTGAACAATTAACAACAGTCGAAACTCTAAAGGTATATTTGTTTTTATTGTAGTCAGATAACATGTTAAAATAAATGATTATTCTAATTTTTATTTTCTGTTTGTGTATTTTATTTTCAGTTTATTTTGAATTATAAAATATTGTCTTACATAAAGCTTCGAGGCTTTTCTGTCTTGTTACTCGAACAAATGATTCGGCGTGAAGTTTTAAGTTTAAGGCGTCGGTCCTTTCATCTTTACTCGAGTGGAACTGTTCGAGATAAAAAACAGGATAACTTTTAAATTTCATTTTAAAATGCAAAATGAGACAACAGCAATATTTTTCAACAATTGTATTGGCTAAGTGCACGACTTCAGAAACACTTAACGTCCTCAACTTTGGCAGTTTTGATGCTTTGAAATCAAACGTATTATTTAAATATCAACAACTATCTATTATTTTATATAACAAAACAACTGCGATACCATGATTTGGATGGACAAAGGGTTGTAAACTTACTTTTAATCATTTAAATTAAATGAGATAACTAAATTTTATTTCAAAAATGTGTTTTATGTTGGTAGTGCCAGTATTTTTAAGCTCATTTATAGATGCAGTTTAGGCTATTTCTTGTTAAATTGAAGCAAAAAAAAATATTTATCTTATATTTTCTATTATCTGAGTGACGGATTAAATAATTCTCTTTTTTTAACCCAGTCGTCATGTTTATTAATAAGAGTATACAATTATTCCTGTATTAATGATAATAAATGAAATATGGTTTTTAGATCACAATGAGTATATTCTGAGGACCAGTTTTGTTTGAATCATAAATAATATAAAATAAATACCTTGCAATGCCTATATTTTTTAAACTAAGTAATTAATCTCCGTTAGAACTCCGAATGACCACGACTGATTTTTTTTTAATAATTATTCAATTGCATTTGAATACAGCATAACTAAAGTACCTAAGTGATAAAAGCAATCATCATCATCATCACCATCAGCCCTTTATTCAGTCCTCACTGCAGGGGCTCAGGCCTTCCTTATGGATGGTTAAGGAGCATGGGCCATGACCCTCCACGCTGGCACAGTGCGAACTACAAATGCAGCCGGGACCAACGAATTAACGTGCCTTTCGAAGCACGGAGTAGCTCGCGATAGTAATTTTTGATCATCCATCCCGTGACCGACCCTTGCGAAAGTTGCTTAACGACAATGATCGTGTGCCGCGGCGCTTCCACAAAGCAAACATAAACCTTACTTTTGTCATTATATTGAGAAAATACATGTACAAATAAAAATAATAATGACAAACGTAATCAGTCAGAATGTTATTTTACTTTAAAATATATTTTACGTGAAATCAAATATATTTCAGCACAGTTTATTCATTATTTTATCGATTCCGACCTATACAAAATATGATTTAGATTTGACTTAAAATTAAAAGATTCATTTATTTTAGTCTTCTTTTGCATTAAAAATGCATAATTAATAAACAGAGGGGCTCTGTTAGTCTACGAACGGAAATTAAAAAAAATTCGAAACGTTCGTAGTTTTTTTTAATCATATACGTCAATATTATCTGTGCATCATAAGAAGTGTCAGGGTCCTACCTCCGTTTCTTAAAGAATTACAATAAATAAAATAACGTAATAAAGCACTTATAAAGTTACAAAGCTACAATAGGGAAGCGCTCACGTAACGTTGTCAACTGTTAAACAAAACACAATTGAAATTCCGCACGGACGTGCACAATGGCACATGCAAGCAATACACCACATTCCCCTTTCAATAGCAGACTGACGTAATGCCGTTGTTCCGTTTATATTGGTTCTCGCTCTTAAATAATAGATGGCGTTGTAGCTATAAATTGTGCTATTTTGTATTGTGAGCTTAGGGGTCTATTTCTATAGTCTGGTTACGTTGCGGAATCTTTGAAATATTTTATGTATTGTTTAGATATATACGTATACCTTCAGTGTAGTATAAATATAATCTTTATCTCAACTAACAATAAATATAAAATAGCTATCGATTTAAAAGTTTATGATTCTGGCAGATTTTGAGTTCGCTCTGGTTTTTTATTGATAATGTAGAAGCAGAAAATTTTCTTTAGCAGAGAATTTATCCATTTTGGATAAATTCAATTATTTGCATAGGTTTTATATATTAGAAGTTAAATTCCAATTGAAATATTCATGAATAATGCTATTGCAGTTCAAATGGTCCTTTTAAACAGGTTATCAATTTTGCTACGTTTTATGACTACATGTTGTATGTTTCTTTACCTATTTTGTTAAAAACATATAAACAATGAAAATATGAATAAAATAAGAAATAAAATGGAGGCGTATTATGCATTTCGACAGTAGTAGAATACTTTGAAATCGTGGAATCGACGTGGAGTTTGCTCAAAGCATCCACGCCATTGGGTATATTCATTTTTGGTATTAACACTTTACTACCTCCTGTGGTTATCCTGTCTGAGGTTTTGGATTCATTAGGCGAATAGTTTGAGGTCAACTGTCGACTAGTGTTGACTCCGCTTGTTAAACACAAACGCAATACTGCGCCGGTGGTCAACTATTTACTAAACCACAAAATTCTAGCAATGCAGTGAACAATCCATTAGTCGTTCTGATTAGTAAGACGAGTGATTTTATAGTTTGTTAAGGAAATTCTGCATTCTTATGTTTTATATTTTCACAATTTTTTATTTGTTACTAATATTGCTAACGTTTTTTTATAATTATTGTGTCGAGTCAGACAGTTGCTAACGTTTGATACTGTCTTTGCAAGTGTGTAAAAAGTCACTCGAACCATTATATACCATATTATGCACTGTAACTAACATAAGCTTGTCGCTGAAACATTCTTGATTTCGATTGTCCACACAAGTTATCTTTTGCATGCTGTTTTTTTGCTTTTATGTTGCACAATACTTTTCATATTTCATTTTAATTTATCGTATGTATTTTATACGAATTTTATTTTTTTGCAAATGATAATAAGAAAAATTGAAAATACAGATATCAATTATCTGATTAAGTTTGAATAAATTATATCAATATTAATTTAATTAATAATTTATATTTTTCTTACCTCTTTACCTGATAAATGTTTATAAGCACTCAAATTACACTTCTTTGCACCGAAAGTATACTTCAGTGGGTCAGCAATTTTTGCATTATTATTTCATATTAGTAGTCGATGCCTTATCTAAGGATGAAGCGTTTTCACGTATCTTTAAAAAATATTTTTTTATAGGTATGATAGATTCTTAGTAGTAGCTTTATTTTATCTTGGCAGTATCACTTTTTAAATGTAGTCGTGCACAATATCTGTAAATTTAGAAATCTTCTATCCTTTATGTGTTTGTAACTAAGCATGTCAATATTTCTGCAATTTCTTCTCTTTCAGCCCGATCCTGGCCATTGCGGAACACCAGACCACGTCCAATGAAGATGGGGTAGTCGTCGCACAGTGCCTAACACAAGCCGTCACAGTTTGGCAGATCAGCTTCTTTATATTAATCATTGTTATTCTCTATATTTTACCTCTACTTATCTTAATAGTCCTCTATAGCGTCATCGCCAAAAACCTCATAAGTGCCGCCTCAAAAGTTGTTATGAACAAAACTGTTGATCCTTACAATGCAAGAGCTCGAAAACAAGTTATATTAATGCTCGGAACTGTTGTATTATGTTTTTTCCTATGTCTAATGCCATATAGAGTTTTGACTTTATGGATTATAATAGCGCCATCAGAATTACCATCAGAAATAAGCCCAGAGAAATGGTATAATATCCTTTACTTTTCAAGGGTAATGTTGTATATAAATTCTGCCATAAATCCTATATTGTATAATTTAATGTCATCTAAATTCCGTATGGGCTTTTGCAAAGTGTGTATTTGTTATAAGAGAAAAGTAGTTAATAAGAATAAACGAGCTATTAGAACTGTAACAAATGGATCAACGACCAGCAGTAGTTTATCAAGAACAACAAACAGTTTAAAGAAACTGTTTAGCCAAAGAGGGAGTATGGATAAAAGCGATACAGAATCAGAAAGTAAAGAAGCTGATGCTAGTACTGTCGAGCCTAAAGGGTTCTTTGAAAAGATTTTTAACAAAAAAACATTTGTTAGGCAACAGTCAGCGCCAGTATGTTCTAATGCTAAACAGGTCAAAGTTGATAGAATGAGAAGCGAAGGAAATATTGAAATAACGGAAGTCGTAGATTTAGATAAAAAGCATATAGACACAAGGAGCGATGCAGCAAGATTTATTGGTCATTCCGATAGTAAGAATATTAGGTCAAATATTGAACTAGATACAAATCGAACCAATTCTTTGAGGCGAAGCGTTTTGATTAATAGTACTAAGGCAAAAAGTATGGATTATGAGAACAGCAAGAAAGTAGTTTCATATCAAAAAGTTCCAGTAGATTTCGTAGTAGCCTTCCAAAACTCGAAGAGTGTAGACTATGAATTTGCAGAGAGCTTCGTTTGATGTACTTTTTAGGCAAATTATGTATACTGTTTACTTGGAAAGTTGTCTTGTTTGTTATTCTTTTGACTAGTTTAGTGAGAATTGATGCTAATATTATACCCACAGTATTATAATGTTTGAAATCAAGTCAGAAACAAGTTCAATAAATTCTTCTCGATCGTGTCGTCATCATGAGGCTGCAGCATTATTGGTGGTCGATGTGGATTACATCGACAATATCAATAAATATATAATATTATTTACAACCATCACAATTTTCTTTTCGTTTTATAATTTCATTACTTATTTCCTTAAAATATCACTAATAAACATGTCAAGGCAACATTTCCTTGTAGTGAAATTCAAATGTTATTTTCTATAGGTATTTAATTTAGAAATAGTTTTGATTATGTTACACACTATCAGAATCAGTATTAACCTATTAGTATCTCTTTCTATTTATGGGTTAATTGATGGCAATAGAATATAAATAGCAGCATTTAGGATCATGTACGAATGACGTACTTAAGTTGTATAGTATTATATTATAGAACAAAGATAGAAATAGATACCTTATTGTAACCGTACGATAGTAAGCCAGTTTATGAGCAACAAGGAATGTATGAAGAAGGAAAAATGACCGCCTTTCCATAAATAAAAGCTTATAATTAAATTCTTTGTTGATATATATAAAAAATTGGCCCTCTTTATTTTTCATATGAAATTTGTATTAAAATTATCAGATAAAATATTTGTCCCTAGATGCAACTTACATACCTTCAGAGTAAGAATCATCTTACTTTTTTAGAATCATCTAGGAATGTAAGTTGCATATAGGTGTATTAATTATAATTTTCAAATTATTTCTTGTCCTTTAGCAATCCTATCACCTACACCTGAGAGAAATAGATGAGTATATTTTACTAAAAAGTTTAGAAACTACCCATTAGAACTGAATTCAATGTTAATTTAGTAAGTTATAATATTGTCATTAATACAAAGCCTATTATTTATAGACTTTTACTATATAAATAATAAAAATATATTCACTTTAGTGTTTTATTTCTTACTCAACTGATTCAATCAATCTATTATTGCCTATCACTTAATTAAAACTTAGTATTTAGTTACGGTTGCAAAGGCAAGTATGATAGGTAAATTGGAGTTATTTATATAGTTTCGGTAATGGTCGGGAAAATACCGTTATTTTAATATTTTATCCAATATTACACTCACACATCAAAATAAGCTTAGTTATTTTGAATATTTTTATAGCAAAATTAACTTATAAAAATATCCCTAAGAATGAAATAAAATTCTGCGGTTCGTTCCGCAGAATTTAAAGTAAACGTACAATAAACTTTAAAAAAAATGCTAATGTATTTTTTGATATTTGACTTTTAAAAATGTTACTGCACACAGCAAAAAAATTCTGCGACTTTCAAACAAGTTGTGGATGGAGCTAGCTATATGGGTGCAGTTAAGCTTTCCCGCATAACCATAAATAGCAATAACTTTGATTGAGATGATCTAATTTCGCTAGTTAGAGAGACATTATTGCAATAAAAGCTACGTGGTGTTAATAAAATCTTCGTTAGGATATTTCGTATATTCGAAATCAATAACTTTCAATTAGTATTGTACACACAGCTGCACAACAGGCTATCACAATATGTCAAGTTATCACAATGGATTTTCTACTCTACACTTAAAGCATCAAGGTTAAAATTCCAATGAAGATTTCAGATTTGTACAACCTGACGTGCTGTTGACTGTACAAAGAAATTTAACTAAAATGCGAAACTAAATCATATTTCTAAGGGTTTTGTCACAATCAAAACATTTTTATAGATAGAATAATCACAAAGTGACCCCAAAAATTCCCCAATTTTATTATCTTCATTATAAGTTTTCTTTTGTATAAGGAAAATTCATAACTATGAGTCCCTTTACAGCCGATGACTTTACGGGTCATTATACAATAATGTTAATGGTGTCCGAGTAATTAATTAAAAATTATTTTTTACGCGCAATACGCCATTATTTGTCTCTACCTATCTCTGGAATCCTTATTAAGAGCTAGTACAAAGCTGATGAAAAAGTAAAAGGTAGGTAATCAATACACTTTTCAATTACGTATTGAATGAAATTAGGCGACATAAAAGTATTAGCGACATAAAAAATTAAGTAAAAGGAAAAAAAAAAATATCTATAAAGATCACTTTGCTGTTTGTCTGTCTGTTAAAACAGTTATTTTGGCCACTTGTGGAGATATCGTGTTGGAATTAAAAACTACAGTTCCTTTGTTCAGTTCCTTGAAGCTGTGAAAAAATAGACTTCTGTTTTAAAATGAAAAAAAAATTACGGCTGTTCATGTTCTTATTCCCTTGAGAGGAATTAAAATTCATATGGTAATTCCCGTTGACCTAGAACTATGAAGTCTGGCAAGTAACATCGTATATATGTATAAATATACATCTTTAATAAAGTCATAACAAAACATAGTCCATAAGAGTGCCAATAATAATAATAAACAAGATTTAGCGTCAGAGTAAATTTACGCTAAAATTGCAATTTTAGTATTAGTTCAAATTCATATTAAACAGACAATAAGGAAACCGACCTTCTAGAAGTAAATATTACTCCCGTAGAACCTAGGTTAACTTTTGCTAAGTCTCTGTTTAATACTATGAATATTTATAAAATAAGAACATTAAAAACAAAATATTTAATATTGGTACGGAACCCTCATGGCGTGAGTCTGACTAGCTCTTGATCAGTTATTTTATAATAGAATTTATTTAATACTTACTAGTATACCTAGATACCTAATTTGCATAAAAGTAACTCAATATTAATAATTATAATTTGAAAGACTGGATTAATAATAGATTAATAATGCTATTATTACGTAAACATTATCAGAATTGACCTGCGGGAAATTTGAATTATGCAGAAGTTGAAGATGCTAAAAATAAATTTTAGGATTCTTTAGGTGACAATTGGAAGCAATTTTCTATCAGGTCAACGTTTTGCCGTTGTTGTTTAAAAAAGGTCCATATGAAAGGATTTTTAAAGATAAATATTTCTAATCTTTTGAAGCTTTCATTTATTTTTGCACTACGACAAAATATAGTAACTATAGGTACAGGAAAGTATATGTCGACTCCTGATTTCCAATTATAATATGGTGTTTATCGCCCTTTTCTATTTTGACGAGCTTTATATGCCGCACGAATTTTACTATCTAGATTACTTAACACTATAAAGAATCAGTCAGAAATGTCTTATTAAAATAAAATAAATAATTAATTAGGAAAGGATCTTTGATTTTTATTTCTTTGGTTTAAGTAATGTTAGGACCGATATATTCCTTTTTATAATCGTACGTTATAAGTACGAAAAGTGTTATTAAGAATGTGGGTCGGTATCAGTTTTTATTCGTCACGAGGTATTCATATGTGACACCGAACATATATATCTTTAAGAACGGGAACAAGCAACTCATAAATTAACTGGAATCATTGCATATAACATAGAGGCTATTAATTTGAACGCCACGAGGGAGCTGTTGATGGAATACGATAAATTAAGGAAACGATTTAGTATTTAGGCCTCTCGCCTATTTAAGGAATAGGGGTACCGATATACCGATTATACTGTACATAAAGAGCTATTAGCGAGGTCATAGAATCTAATTACAACAGAAAAGCGAAATTAAATTCAAACATCGATTTAAGGGGTTATAAAATAACATAAGAAGCTAATAAGTAGGTTTTATGAGTAACTAGCTCTCCGCCAGAAGCCCCCCTAGGAAACTGTTTATTTGGATATCGATTCATATCATGACACGTATATAATTACAATGACAAATTGAATAGTAAACAATCGATACCATAGTAATGTTTTAATTCCCTATACAATCTTCCTCTCCCATTTTCATCCCTTTATTTGTTGCTCTTTGGGATAAAATATAGCCTATTTTCACGCGCATATGATGTAGATTCCCATAGGTGAAAGAATTTTAAGAATCGGCTAACTCGCAACGAAAAGGCTCCGAAAGAAGTTTCAGAGACTATTCGTTAACACACAAGAGTCTAATTAGTATAAAGTAAATAAATAATATTTTCTTATATTCATAAATGAAACAACTTTTAAACGGTTTCATCGCGTTTTTATTTAATTGACGTTTCGGACACTTTAGAGTCTTATTTCAACACGTAACTGTAAGTCAATAAAATTATATTCTTCTGAATGGTTTTAAAAACTAAAAACCGTTTAAAAGTTGTTTCGTTTATAGTATTAAATAAGATCAATTTTAGGACTAACCTACGAGTGATGTTTGCCCATAATGTGCCCCTGCCCCTGGTGCAGCCACTACGTAGTAAGGAATATACATCTCGAGGATATAAAATTGCAATATAATTCATATTTCATAATAATGTAAGTTGTGGTCGAAAACATGCTCTTGCAAGCATTGTAACTAAATTAAAATGCCTATTTTTTTCGAAATCACATCAAAATAGTCGAATTTCTTACATTAGGTATAATTTGCTCGAACATAAGTATTCACTCTTGTGGCGTAAATGTGTGACGAGCTACTGTAGTCAGAACTTAAGAGGATGATTAGGTTCCGACTCACGGACAAATCGCTTTACATTGTATTAGTAATGGTACTGAATAACAGTGAGAAGCGGAGCGGGTATTAGGCGTAATTGTCAAAATTCGACTATTAAGTGTTAATTGAGATTGTATAGAGATACATTGAGAGAGTAGTAGCTTGGTGGCAGAGCATAATCGATGTTGTTAAGCAACTTTTGCAACGGTCGGTCACGGGATGGGTGACCAAAAAATTACTATCTCAAGCTACTCCATACTTATCCAGTCGTTGATACAATTGCATTGTGCCAGCGTAGAGTGTCGTGGCTCATCCTCCTTAAACATCCACAAGGAAGGCCTGAAACCCTGCAGTGAGAACATATACGAGTAATAATGCGATAATTTTATATGAGCCATTGTTCAAAGTTCTTGTCTAATGAGAATCAGAGATTTAAAAAGAAGGGGTTAGAAAATAACATAAGTGGTTAATAAGTAAGTTTTATGAGTAACTAGCTCTCCGCCAGAAGCCCCCTAGGAAACACGTATATAATTACAATGACAAATTGAATAGTAAACAATAGATACTATAGTAATGTTTTAATTCCCTATACAAACTTCCTCTCCCATTTTCATCCCTTTATTTGTTGTTTTTTTGGGATAAAATATAGCCTATTTTCACGCGCATATGATGTAGATTCCCATTGGTGAAAGAATTTTAAGAATCGGCTAACTTGCAACGAAAAGGCTCCGAAAGAAGTTTCAGAGACTATTCGTTACCAAACACACAAGATTCTTAATAATATTTGTAGGTATTAGTATAAAGTAGTATTAAATTAATATTGATTTCTTATTTTCATAAATGAAAAACTTTTAAACGGTTTCATCGCGTTTGTATTTAGTTTTAATAGACGTTTCGGACACTTTAGTCTTATTTCAACATGTAACTGTAAATCAATAAAATTATATTCTTCTGAATGGTTTTAAAAACTAAAAACCGTTTAAAAGTTGTTTCGTTTATTTATAAAAATTTTAGGACTAACCTACGAGTGATGTTTTCCCATAATGTGCAGGGTGCTGGTGCATTGGAAATAGACTACGTAATAAGGAATATACATCTCGAGGATATAAAATTGCAATATAATTCATATTTCATAATAATGTAAGTTGTGGTCGAAAACATGCTCTTGCAAGCATTGTAACTAAATTAAAATGCCTATTTTTTTCGAAATCACATCAAAATAGTCGAATTTCTTACATTAGGTATAATTTGCTCGAACATAAGTATTCACTCTTGTGGCGTAAATGTGTGACTAGCTACTGTAGTCAGAACTTAAGAGGATGATTAGGTTCCGACTCACGGACAAATCGCTTTACATTGTATTAGTAATGGTACTGAATAACAGTGAGAAGCGGAGCGGGTTTTAGGCGTAATTGTCAAAATTCGACTCGTGTT